GCAAATTTCCGTGACCGTGGAAAGTGTTTATAAGATGCACGTTCGAAAATTGATGATTTTACCCTGATCGTGGGGGACGATGATGTCACGTAAATAATGTCCAAGATTTTTCCTTAACCTCGAAAGTTGTGAATGATTTTGCTAAGTCCGTGCATGAAATTCTCAATTTTGCCATGAGCGCAGAAGATGTTTCGAATTTTGCCATGATCGCATACAACGATCTAGATAATGTCCATTTTACTGTGACAGTGGAAGATGTTTACAGTTTTGGCGAGATCGCAGATTATGTTCATGATTTTGCCGTGAATAAAGAAGATGTTACAATTTTTCTGCGACCATGAAAAAAGTTGATAGTTTTGCCGAGTTCCTGTATTTGCAGATGTTCTTGATTTTGCAATTACCGCGGAAGATGTTCTTGACTTTGCCAGGACCTCGAGGGGTGTTAACGATTTTGCCATGAACACGGATGACAATCACAATTTTACCAAAGACAGCACACTAAAACAGGTTTTACCAGTGCAATTTTAAAATTCCCATATAGTTCCAGACTCAACACGAATTTACGCAAACTTTAGTCCGTATGGTCACCCTTGTGGGGTCTCCTTGCCCATATCGATGGAGGCCGATGAATACACAAAATGGTAGGGATGGACAAGATTGGATTTTAGTTCGAGACGAGACGAGACGAGATTTTTGATTTCTCATAAAATTTCGAGCCGAGATTGAGACAGGATTTCCCTTCTCATACACAACGGGAAATGCACGTTCAAAATTTTTACCTGATTTTGTAACATTGTTAGATGACTGTTTAAATATAAAAATAATGATAATAGGCAAGAATATTTACAATCTTTTATTAAAAAACATCAGCATAACATTTTTTTATTAATCACGCCTAACTTATTAAAAATGCCTACGATTAGGAAACATAGTGATATCAGTTAGGATAGAGTTAAACTTATCCTAAAATAAAATAAATCATAAAATAAAAGCAATATTAATTTTTATAAAATAGTTACTGTACTTGTTTTGACTTTTTGTAGTAATAAAACATTCCTTACACTGATTACACTTAACAAAACTTCTCGAATGTTATTAAAGTAATATTATTAAAATAATTAAAGTAATATTTACATTTAAAGAATTAATTAAATAAGAACGCCTTTGCAAAGGAAACGCAACTACAACACGCTCCTGTATTGCGGGTATTGCATTGACTTTCTGCAGGCGTTTTTAATTTTTTTAAATTTTTTTTATTCTCATCTCGATAAAAATCTCGGCCAAAAAGAAATCTCGTCTCGTGTAACGAGATTTAAAATTTCCCGAAATTTCGAGACTTGACCATCCCTACAAAATGGTAAAATAAAATAAACTCCCAAGTATGGTTTTGCATGATTAAACTTCTAAGATTCTTGCCAGGGGTGGTAAGGAGGGATAAGTGGGCTTCGGCCCATAACAAATTGAAAACTCATCAACCGTGATAAAAATTTGGTAAAATTCAAAATCTTGTTTGGAGTTTTGATACCAGGATTTATTGTTTTCACTAATGAGTATTAACATACGCAAGCTTGTGTTACGGCCCTGCCATAGTACGGTAATATTGTGGTAGAAAAGGGAGGCCCTCCAACCGGACATGGCCAAGGAGGGCTTGCGGTAGAGAGAGGAGGTACTGTAGATAATTGTGTCTGGACCTCCTCTCTCTATCTTAATTGTCCTTTATCCAAAGTATACCTTAAACCTTTTTCCAACCCACTGGCCTGGATCCCTTATCTTCCCATCATCCCACTGGCTTCTATCAAGGCATCATCAGAGAGGGTTTTGAGCTGTATAGGAGTACCCATGTAAGTATCTATCCAAGGAATACCTATCATAGGGAGTAGAAACTTAGTGTAAGTGGATAATAGAAACTTTCCAAAGCGTTATAATTGGAATATCCATAAACACCTAAGGCTACATTGATCCGAGATCATATAATTCTTTGCTCAATGAGATTAACTCATAGGATTTTGGAATTATCCAAGCTGTGAGTATGATAAAATGTATAACGGATGTCAGCAAATATGATTTAAAGTGAAAATTGTTTATCCATAATTTTAATTTCTACTTACTACAAGAATTGGTCAAAGTTAAACCGTCCCTTTAGGACGAGAAGAGATTGGAATTTTTGACGCAAAAAATACTGACTTTTTACATGCTTTACTATCAATATCAAATCTTAAATTGACGATTCACTTATTATATTTATATATTTGAACCAGTTCTACCACTGTAACTTATTTCATCATTCGTTCAATGCAGGTAATTAGAAGTAATTGCTGGTCAAGTTAAGATACCTAACAATTCTTTGATACTGTTTTAGATCTCTATGACTCTAGTGGTTGCCTACTTTTGTGAGAACATCTCATATCATGTACAACTCCTTACATATGTAATTCCTTTGCAAGGATGTTGACATCAGCTGTCTTCTGTAAAATTCAAAGGTAATTTTTGATATTTTCTGTAGCTAAATGTTTAAATAGTTCTGTATACACATAATATTCACTAATCAGCATTACTAAACATGCAATAGTAGGATAATATTTTTCAATAATCTTTCAATAATCTTCAATAATTTTTCTTAATCAAATACTTCTGTTACAAAAGAAAGCTATTAGATTAATGCTAAGTTTAAATTGGATTGAAAGTGTAAAGTATCATTTTTCTAATTTGGAAATCCTAACAGTATTTGGAATTTATATATACGAGACAATAAAATATACTAAGCAGCACCATTTACCAAAAATACAGTTAGAACTAAGTAGGCCTACCAGTTATAGATATAATACCAGAAATGCACAACATGTTATACAAAACAGACATAGGTAATTTAGAATTTTATAAAAAAAGACACAGTGTATAGAGGCCTTAGATATATAAATTTTTTACCAAAAGATATAAAAAATGAATGTAATAGTAGGAAATTTTACTTTAAACTAAAAAAATACCTAGTAGAAAAAGCAATTTACTCCTTTGAGGAATTTTATAATTTAAAATATTGTGAATAGACAATAAGTACTCACTGACTCTATTCTTTGTACTTGTACATTCATGAATAAAGGAGATTTTGATTTGATTTGAATAGTCAATCCGTCAATAGTAGATGGATGTTATTTTGGAAACATCAAGTAACAATTAAAATTATTAAGGTCATGCGTTGAATTCAATTCAAAAACCGATGTGTACATTGGTGTTTGCCTAGAATATTCAGAAAATCCATATATCATATATGTCGTAAGAATGTATAGCCTAGTGAATACAAATCTAGACTTGATTTATTGTACAAGAAACGAACGCATTCTACAGTAAATGTGCATCTAACCTCTTGACATTCCTTGTTGCAGGCATATCTCTGTGGTGTCTGCAAATCATAGCAAAAGCGTAACAAGGCCATTTAACACAGCTGTATCCAGCCCCACGTTAACCTCCTCGAGCACTTTAGTGGCAACACACAATATCCTATTAAAAACAAATCATTCTATAGTTGTTACATGCATGGTCACTGTAAAAGGTCTCTGAAGATTTTTGAGGCTCTTGCCATATTTAGCTGATTTGTTCTCTTATAAGGTTCAAGGACACTTTGTTAGAGGTTGAACAATACAGTAAACTAAAAAGAAAAGAAGAGGAAAAAGAAAAAGAGAAAACTGTAAGCTGTTAGACATTATGGATAGAAATTTGGTTAGGATCAAACCCTCCTCATGGATTGACAACGGACATCAATGGCTGTTGATGACTTAGGCCAAACAAACCTAATCACAGAACATGGTGGAAACGTAATTTTGTTAATACTATGACTTGACTAATTATCCTATAACAATAGGATACATCAAGAATTGAATAATATTTCATCAATGATCAGTTATGAACAAATAAGCAATATTGTAGTAATTTAAAGCAATAAGATCTTCAATATCGCAAAAATGATTTTATACTTTGTTCAACCAAAAGTAAAAGGATATTCTAGACTTGTTTGATTTGATATAGAAAAATGAAAGTAGGGAATAGCATTAATATTAATATAATTATTTACTAGTAAGTATATTGTTCGCATAATCTCTTGATGTTTGTTGCAGGCATATCACTATGGTGTCTGTCAATCATAGCAAAGTTTATCGAGGGAAGTAACGCAACTGTAGCCTGCACTACGTCAACTACCTCCAACACTTAAGTCGCAGGTGAGTATCATATGATCCTGTAATAATTGGACAATCCTGTTGCTGATATTTACGAGAACATGTATGCAATCATTAAGAGCAATGACATAATTGACCATGCCATATTGTGTGTGAAAAATGAAGACTTTAGAAATGAATACTGTAGCGCAAACATGGACAACATTCCTGGCCAGTACCAACAATATTTAAGCAGCGATAAAATGGTTACGGAAAACGACGTTGGGCAAAATTGTTATCTGGCCGAATTTTGTAACACGCTCTCTGATAGCGGTCTACCACCTCATATACTCAAGCTTGAGGAAAACACTATTGTTATGTTGATCAGGAATCTTGATACTGTACATCAAGTATGCATGTAAAAAGAATATACAGGGTGTTTCTGTTCACACCAACTGGTCGACTAAGTGTAATGTGAACAGTGTTGCGTAGATGAGCACCGTGGGTACAGGGTTAATTCCCTTTCTTACAATAGATATAGCTGCTATTATCTGTTATGGACTACTGTAATTCACTAGTTTTAGCAATCTAGATAAGAAAACTTATGTTGACACAATTTCATGTACCAATCTGTACATTTTATAAAATAAAGATGAAGATGATGATCATAATTAGTGATCTTGAAAAAGAGCTACTTTGTAGATATTTTGTAGACATACGACTAACTAAGACTTATTACATTGCTGGCTTTAAAGGCCTGGATTGAGAAGTGGCTGCAGTGTTTTAATGCATTATTCATGCAATTTCTTAACTCAAATATGAAACCTAAATCGGATATTAATGAAACAGTAATTATAAAAAAATGTTTTTAATGATGTATGATGAGTATTATAAAATGGATGTAAGATGCTTAGTTTTTAGTGGTGGTGTCTTCATTTCTCTGCACGCTCATTCCAGGCATTTGGTCATAGCTTTTTGAGAGTTTTGCTCGACTGAAATCCATACCAGGGTTCTAAAACAAGTTTTCAAAATTTAACTGTACAATCTGTATAAGTTAATTTACTGCAATTTACATATTTTCATTATAAGTGTATTTAAATATAAGTTATTCAACCTTAAATCTGATAGGCCTATTTAATATGTACGGTATGAAAAATTCTAAGCAAACTTTTAGCAGGTAAAAACAGCCTGTAATGAGAAAAGACCCGATATTTTTATCTTAGTGTCTAGACTTGAAACATTAAAAATACAAAGTAAAAGTTAAAACTAAAAATGTCATCCAATATTCCTGTTTTATAAAAAAACTTAAAAACCCGAAAAACTGTATAAAACTGAAAAATTGTTATTTTCCAATCAAAGTTTGCAAACCTCTTCTAACTTGGTTCTCTGTTGAATGGAAACAGGGGTCAAAATAGATGAATATCATTTAAAAAATAAAACTTAAGCTACCTCAATCTGAAATTTTTCTAGATCAAGCTTCTTTCTCATCTCGTGCAGTGTTAAAGGATCTGGTTGGTAGCTTCCGTCCTTTAAAATGGATTCCCATAAAGTATCTTTTTGGTCATATTCCGCTTTAGACAGAACTATATTTAGAGTACAACCATCTTCTATGGTCCACACACTGTCATCAGGGTGAATTGGTTTGTATAGATGACCCTAAAAATAAACCCAGTAAAAATAGGCCTAACACTAAGTATTTTTTTAAATATTTAAGTATGTTAGCCTTAACACTAATACCGAAACCCTACCAAGGCTGACGTTAACCGAAGCCCCCGGTCTGTGAGACCTCATTTGAAAAATAATGGACCCCGCTTAGACACACACAAACCGAAACCCTCGGCCTGTGAGACCCCGCTTTCAAATACACTAACGATGGGCTTCTGAGACAGGCATGTTATGAACAGACAACCTGTCAAGGTCACGGCACCCATGCAAAATGAACAAACAATATAAACTTATCAATAGGTAGGAGAGGAAAAGGGGGGAAGGTATTGGGGGAATGGAATCTCCCAAGTAGCCTAAACAGTGTTGCCAACATGCGTTTTTGAAAATTCCCGTGGGCCTGTCAGACCGGGGTTTTGGTACAGTAGTATTGGAACATTGACAATTTTGCTTATGTACTGTTTAAATGTACATTGTCTCAAGATCATATGTTCTACTTGTTATATTAAGCTGTGTTCATGTTTATGTTTGTGTGATCAAAATAAAAGTGTGAATTCCTTTCTTTAATATAATTTGTTTCTCATTAATTTAATAGTTTATTCTTATAAGTAATCAAGAGAAAGAATGCCTTGGACAAGTACGTATCAATAGGTTATGGGCCCAGCACGCTTGGTTCGAAGTACCCAACGACATCCCAGGACACGAGCTCCTTCTGGTTTATCCACCAAAATCCAAGTTTTATTTTCATGAATCGATTTTATTTCATCGTCCATAGCAGCCTTCCAGTCAGATGCATCATCCAACACCATTGCTTCCTTGTAAGACCTTGGAAACATCTGTGTTTCTGATTGAACCAGCATCAGATCAAAATTTCCACTGCTCATCCAACTTGGTACATTTTTCACTCGTTTTCCTTGTCGCAACACGTCTTTTGTGGTTTCATTTTTAGACAATACAACACACTCGTCTTGCTCACCTCCATCCAAAACAATAGGAGTTGCCACTTCATCAGTTTCCACTTCCATGGTTTCATTTTGAGACAATACATCACACTGCTCACCTCCCTCCAAAACAATAGGAGATGCCGCTTTGTCAGTTTCGACTTCTGTTGTTTTTGAAGTGATGTCAAAATGAACTTCATCGCTCGAAGATGGTTCATTATCAGGAGCAGTACTTCCTTGGGATGTCTCAGATTGAAATATAACATCATGGCTTATAACAGTTTGCCATTTGCTTGGTACATACACTCTGTATCCATCTCTCAAACCATGATACCCAACAAAGATTCCTTCAATGCTTTTAGCATCCCACTTTTTCCGCTTTTGCTTCGGCTGATGTACAAAGCAGTTAGTTCCAAATACTCTGAGGTGTTGCAGACCTGGAACACTCTTACCCGACCACAATTGCAGTGGTGATTTGCCATCTACAGGACTTGGTCCTGTAAGATTAAGAAGGTAAACTGCAGTATTACAAGCCTCACCCCAAAGAAACTTCGGCAAGCCTTTCCTCTGAAGCATAGAACGAGCAGACTCCACAATCGTTCGATTATCCCTCTCAACAGAACCATTCTGTTCAGGGCAGTAGGGAGAAGTTGTACGTATCTTAATACCATACTCCTGAATGATTCTCGTAGTTTCCTTTGATAGGAATTCAGACCCGTTATCAAACAACATTTCTTTTATGATCTTTCCACCTTGTTTTGCTTCTGCAAGAAAGATGCGCATACAATCAGCTACTTCACTTTTATTCTTTATGAAAAATACTTGGCGATACTTACTGTAGTAGTCTTTAAACAATACAAAATAGCGGTTACCTCCAAGAGAAGTGACCTCCATAGGTCCGCAGACATCTGTACTGATCAGTTCACAAAGTGACCTCCATAGGTCCGCAGACATCTGTACTGATCAGTTCACCAACCACCTCAGGACAAGTTGGACGAGAATGAAATGGACCACGATGAGATTTACCAAGAACACATCCATTACACAATCCCATGTCTCCAGTCACATTAATTCCATTCATCTTTAAAACTTGTTTAACATGGCGTTGATTCTGATGACCTAGCCGTTCAAGCCATAGCTGTAAAGAATCTTTCTTACATGCAAGTTGTACAGTGGGTTGTATAGGACAAATAGCACGCATGTTAAGAAAATATAAATCCCCATGCAAACGTCCAGTCAATGTAACAATACCATTTAGGGTAAATTTACATCCAAGATTGTCAGCAGAAAACACATGGTTCTTCTTCGCTGCCTTGCTGACTGACAACAGATGAGCTCTAGAATTAGGTACATACAAAACGTTTTCTACAGTCGTTTGAATTAGCTCCTTACCAACTTTAGTTTCAACAACAATGATCCCAGATCCCTCGGCATAACACTTTTTATCAGAAGCATTATCACTGAAGCCAGACATAAGTTGTGGTTCTGAAAATTGTGAATACTCTGTAAAATAATCTTTACACCACGTTACATGATGAGTAGCACCACAATCCGCAATCCAAACGTCCCGATTTGCAAAAGTTAACTCATTACCGCTCATAAAACTATGTTTTGCAGACACATCCTTCTTGTTATCAGATGTAGATACCGTAGACTTCTTTTTAAGTGGACAATCAGGAACCTTATGCCCTTTTTGTTTACACTTAAAACAAAATATCTTAGAAACTTGCTTTACTCTTGTACCCGTGGGTTTTGAAACATATAAAGCAGTTTTAAGTAACTCCACGTTATCACGCTGCTCTATAGTGCGAAGCTTTTCAACTAGTGTTTTAATTGTTCTATCCTTAGATGGCATAGCTTCCCATACATTTCTGAATTCACGAAAGCTTGGCCCCAAAGTAGATAAAATTCTTGCAATTAAAACTCTATCACTAAGCTTTGATTCCTTTTGTTTCTCAAGTGCATCATTTAATTCGGCAAAATGTTTTTGAAGCTTTGCAACATGGGTAGCTATGTCCTCATTAGGATCCCGATCCCACCTAAAGAACTCTTCTAGCAAACGATCTAGCCTTTGTTCACTAGACTGATTTTGGTGGATAAACCAGAAGGAGCTCGTGTCCTGGGATGTCGTTGGGTACTTCGAACCAAACCTAATTCTGATGGTTCTCATGAAAAATACAAAGCTCGACTAGTAGCCAAGGGATATGCACAACGTGAAGGAATTGACTATAATGAACTGTTTAGTCCTGTGGCACGTTATGACACCATTAGATCTGTGCTAAGTACGGCTTCCGTTTAAAATCTGGAATTGCGTCAGTTTGACGTGAAGACTGCCTTTTTATATGGTGATCTTTCAGAGGAAGTTTACATGGAGCAACCTGAAGGTTATTCTGATGGAACTGGACGTGTGTGTAAACTACAAAAGTCATTATATGGTCTGAAACAATCTCCTCGTTGTTGGAGCTTGAAACTTACAAAGTTTCTTGAATCTCAAGGTCTTAAGAGAAGTAACTCGGATCCCTGTCTCTTTTATAAAAACAATCACGGGAAGAAGCTACTTTGTACTTATTTATGTAGATGATGGATTAGTAGCTGGGACCGACAATAGCATCATTGACGACTTCATGAAAAGCTTATCCAAAGTTTTTAAAATCAAATCTGGTGAACTTGACAGTTATTTAGGATTACAGATCAAGAAAAGTTCAAGTGGAATATGGATTGGTCAATCAGCCTATACTAAACGCATATTACAACGTTTTGGTATGAGTGACTCGAATTCCATTTCTACACCATGTGAAAAACCTGTAAACAACGGTCCAGTGGAGTCTGTCAGTGGAAAAGTTCCATACCGTGAGGCTGTTGGAAGCTTGATGCATTTAAGTTGTGTATCAAGACCTGATATTTCCTTTGCTGTGGGATTGGCTGCGAGGAATATGTAACATCCTACTCAAGCGGATTGGTTGAGTGTCAAAAGGATATTTAGATATCTTCGAGGAACCATAAATGTTGGTATCTTGTACAAGTCCTCACCGTGCAGTAATCTGGATGTTTTCACTGATTCTGATTTTGCTAGGGAGGAAAGTACTCGGAAATCAACGTCTGGGTTTATCAGTTGTTATGCTGGAGGTCCAGTGAGCTGGCGAAGCGAGAAACAGCGTTCTGTAGCACTGTCTACGACAGAAGCCGAGTTTGTGGCTGCATGTGAAGGAGCTAAGGAAGCAATATGGCTCAAACGTCTGTTTGAAGAAATAAGTTGTCACTCACAATTGACACCTGTTCTGAAAATTGACAATGGCAGTGCCGTGAAACTCATAAAGAACCCTGAGTTTCATCGCAGAACGAAGCATATCGAAGTTAAGTATTACTTCGTCAGAGAAAAATTCTTGGAAGGACTTGTTGATGTAGAACATGTATCTACAACATATCAACTTGCCGACATCCTTACTAAACCTCTCAATCGAGTAAGGTTTACACAGCTTAAAGTAAACATTGGACTTTGTGACATTTAGTTTTCAAAATTGTGAAGGGAGTATTGGAACATTGACAATTTTGCTTATGTACTGTTTAAATGTACATTGTCTCAAGATCATATGTTCTACTTGTTATATTAAGCTGTGTTCATGTTTATGTTTGTGTGATCAAAATAAAAGTGTGAATTCCTTTCTTTAATATAATTTGTTTCTCATTAATTTAATAGTTTATTCTTATAAGTAATCCCCCAAAGATAATGTGAGTCCGGAAGAACTGTGTAGGCCTATCTATCACATATCCAATGACGTGACTCCCTTTAGGCACTGGCGGAGGGTGACACCCAGTGAAATTATCGGCATTGTGACTAGGTTTAAGAAGAAACAGAGCCGGGATATCTATGGTATATCTGTAGAGCTTTTAAAAAAGATTATAGAAGTTATTGTACATCCTTTGTGTCATGTCATCAATGTATGCCTTGAGAAAGGTTATTTTCCAGACAAACTAAAGGTGGCTCGCACTGTCCCAGTTTACAAAAAAGGCGATCCCACGGCCATGAAAAGCTATAGGCCTATATCGATTATACCTGTCCTGGCAAAGATCTTTGAAACTGTAATGAAAAACCAGATAGTCTATCACTTTGAAAAAAATCATCTCTTTCTTGATGCCCAGCACGGGTTCCGTCGTGGTAAATCCACAGTTTCTGCTGTCCTTCAACTGGTCGAAAACATTCTAGACTCCTTTGAGTCTCAAGAATCCACAGCCTTGGCATTGGTTGATTTAAGCAAGGCGTTTGATTGCGTCCCGCATGGCCTGCTGATACAAAAGCTCTCGGCATATGGAGTAGAAGGAGAAGTTCTAGAAACGTTTCGTACCTACCTCCATAATAGAAAGCAAATTCTCACAATCGATGGGGCAAATTCTGAGCCACTTGAGGTATTTCACGGTGTGCCACAGGGCTCGGTGGTTGGGCCTGTGCTGTTTCTGATCATTATAAATGACCTAGGCCTACTGGGAAACATCCTACTATTTGCAGATGATACCTCCATTTACACTAGCGGCCATGATCCAGAGACAGCCTTGACAATAGCAGAAGCGAAGCTTGTTGCCGTAAAATCATGGTTCGACAAGAGTAGCCTAAGCCTAAATGAAGGTAAAACTCAAAAGATAGTATGCAGTCTTTCAAAATACCATAATGAAACAGATGAGGTGAAGCTCCTTGGCTTCCAAATAGATCCGAAACTAACTAACTTGGGAGAAGCATGTTAACTACATCTGCAAAAAACTAAACCGTGTGATCTGTCTCATACGTAGGCTGAAACGACTTGTCTCCAAGGATTTTCTTGTTACAGTCTACTTGTCACTGTTTCATAGCCACATCATCTATGGTCTTGAGCTGTGGGGCCATGCCTCAACCTGCACTAAAATCCTAGTCCTACAGAAGAAAGCTCTCCGAATAATAGACTCCGCCAATGATGAAGAGCACTGCAAGCCCATATTCAAGAAATTAAGCATATTTACAATCTTCAACCACTATATCTTAGTCAGTCTTCTTCACATTCATCGAGATTTACCAACGCTACCAATACGAGCAGACCAGCATAGTTATAATACCAGAAGGAAGAAACACATTGACCTACCTTTCTGTAGACTTACCAAAAAGAAAGACTGCTACCCTGTCCTGGCTATGAAATTTTTCAACCTACTCCCGGCTGCCGTCAAAGAACTAGAACCAAGGACGTTTGAAAATAAAATTGGGACTTGGCTTAAAAACAACCCCTTCTACACACTTAATGAGTATCTAGAAGCCGACCACTCCTCAATAAAATGAAGTGACCTGCCGCCAAATTTTAATCAAGATCTAAGAATTAAATTTCTCAAAGTTTTTTTGCTGTAAATATATGTTTGTGTAAATAGTATTGACGCCATCTATCCAGTTATACTGGTCAACGATGAAGAGAAAAGTATGAAGTATGAATCAAGAGAAAGAATGCCTTGGACAAGTACGTATCAATAAGTAGAGTCCTGCAAACTCGGCACTCGATAACCCGGCAGTCTGGATAACTCGGCCATCATCTGGCTCAGAAAATTAGTGATTTTTTGAGTCCGAGTTAAACATGGACTCAAGCCAGCTCAAGTCAAATCATTCTCAGCTCGTACAAATGATTTGTTTTACTATATCTGATGACTTAAGTCAAAGTCAAAGATTTTTGAAAGCTTAATACTGACTTGTAATATAAATATAAATAAAAGAGGTAGTTAATTAGCTTACCAATTATATTGTTCTTATTTTTAACCCTAGTTCCCGATAACCCGGCAATTCACAAACTCGGCACCCTTCCAGTCCACATTACGCCGAGTTTGCAGGATTCTACTGTATTAGTGTTAAATTATCTAACTTAAGTTCTTTTAAAATTATGTTGAATTAATACAATAATTTATTAGGCCTGATTTATAGAAGCAAATGTTGTAAGCATCCCTACCTACGAGTTTACCACATAGCACGCTGATATGCGAGAAGTAAATTTAAATCAAAGGTTTACCTTCTGAAGGTATCGTAGCATTGCATTGCAAATTCAAGACATTTTTGAACGGCTACACCATTTTTGATTTAGTTATCAGTTACGGTTAGGGTTTTCGCCAATGTATTTCGCTAATTAAAATTAATGTAAGTTAAGTTAGTTTGATGTACGGTACACATAACTTATTAACTCTTGATTAAGTTAGGCCTAACTTACTATTAAGATTTTTTTTGTTCGTCCCGTTACACAATGGTAACTTAGGCCTAAGTTATTGCTGAGTAGGCTAATTTTTATGACCAGTAGGCCTAGCCACAGACTAACCAATACAAGTACGGTAACTTAAGGGAGTATGTTTTATCCATAGCCTAAGTTAAGCTTAGTTCCAGGTTTTGTAGCTTATCTTGGCTGCACTTTACTTTAGGTCTTACACTCATTCGAATGAAAATATCGATTAATCAATATATTGATTGATAATTTCATTCGAATAAGTGTAGGACCTAACGTAAAGTGCAGCCCTTATCTTTATTAAGTATGTAAGCCTATTTTTTTAAATAAGTTATTCATCTGTCCTGGGACTTTTTGCCATTATTCATGCTGTATGAATCTGAACAGATGATGTTTAACTTATGGCCTCTGGGGACCTCGAAACAAAAAAAAGGAAATTGGTCCGGGGCCCAGATCCTACACGAGACCTACAACAATAAAAGCTTATTCCTTAGACCTATAGCCTATGGGATATTTGCCAATAAAGTAACATAAAATCGTAATTGTTCTAAACGCTGGGCCTAACCTAACCTAACATAAAATCGTAATTGTTCTAAATGCTGGGCCTAGGCCTACTTTAAATTGTTAAAAACGTTCGTTATTATGGACAGCCTGCTATTTTAAGTAAAATTAGGCTACATAGGTCTTCTTGGGGTAGGCTACTGTTTTTCTTAACGATTAGGCTAAGTTAGACCTAAGTTTAGCATATATCACCTTGAACAATACTTTGTCATATACAATACATTCGACATTGTTGGTTTTAATAGTCACTTTAACATTTTTCGCTTTTGTGTTACTTGGCAAGTCAACTGAAATGTAAACTTCATCGACTGTTTGCCACCAAGTTCCCCAGCTTGTTTTGAAGGATACAACTCCACTTTTTTCGTCAAAATGACTTAATGACATGATGACAAAAAATAGGTTAAACACAGGGTAACTAATTGTTAATTGAGAAGGTTAATAGCTGGTTAATAGGTACACACCACATCACTAGAGATAGATAAGTAATTGTAAGAATCTGAATAGCATAGCATCAGCATCCTATAAATTGACATTTTCCACAGATAGTTAAGTCACCTCACTTGTGTTGACTTGACAATAACGTTCAATTTCTTATAAGCCAATCATCGATCCCCGGTTGGGGACGCGACTCTCGGCTTTTCAAACAATAAGTATATCAATGTGTTTATCTTACATCTAATTATTCTAACTAGTGTACATGTTGCTCGAATTCGAGCAATTGTAAAGTATTGCAGGATTTGTAAACCAATAACAATCATATTAAGCTATCAACATTTTCAACAAAATCACACCTACCTTCCCTGTAGCAGCAAACCTAAGTAATCATATTAAAATTAACTCTTAAGCAGTGTTTCCATCCGCAAGAAAAAAATATCCCTGGGCCAACGTCAAAAAATCCCTAGTTATCCCTAGTCCGTGTTCTAATAATCCCTCCAATTATCCCTCTTCATTAAATCTAGATAACTTATTATTTTTGCAGCAATACCAATGGATATCATGTATAGCCACCTAAAATATGGTAACTGGTGGTATTATTCTTTAATATCCCATATTATTTATAAAGTAATACTATATAAAAAACATTTTTGCACCAACCACGGCCATCTTTAACTCCAGGCAGGCCGCGGCCTGGTAGAATTGGCAACGTTGCAAGTACCGTAGTATTGTTTAGCGCCAGACGTCCCATACCCATAAGTTAACATGGAAATAAAACATAATGTAGAATCGAAAACCAAAACAATATAAATTGAAAATCTATTTCTATACATTCAATGTGGAGTCAATATTTTCATAGCCCAGTAACCAAGCTTTCGTATTTATTATAAAAAATACATAAATATCATTATAGCTTAGCGTTCTCCAAACAATCACCTTTTACAACACTACGAGAGGTCGTCCAGTGGTCGAAACTCGACCAAAAATATGTAATGTACTCACTTATCTATTTTCACCCAACACTGTAAATAAAACATGTGATTGGAGTTTCCTCCATTTGTTTTGATTTTCTGTTTATATTTCGTTGTTATTTCGTAACCAGCATAGCAACGCATAAGATCCATGTTAATTTTTTCAAATTTTTAAACCCATTTTTTGTGCTTATCTTTGAGCCTATTTAAATTTATAAAGGGATTCTGCACACCTACAGGAAAATAGCTTTCCAACGGTATGCGTAGATTTTCCCTACGATTCACACGAGCTGAGAAAAAAGGTTTTAAAGAAACATGCTTGCCTATTAATATATAGATAGATACTTGCAACGTTGCCACTTCGAAGGCCGCGGCCTCCGGCCTGGAATTAAGGGTAGCCGTGATTAAAAACTGCCTATGTGGTACAAAACAAGATAAATTAACTAAAAAAAAAATGAAACCAATAGTTATTTTTAAAATTTTATAAACTAATAATTTTCATTTACAAGTAATTACAATTGTTTCAAAAATGTTACTCAAGTGTCCAAATTTCAAACTTATAGTCTTTTTCAAACATGGCCACCATGCATTGGTGAAAAGGTTATACCAAGTTACTTTAACCAAAAAACATCATAGAAATCACCGGCAAACAAAATTAAAACGAAAACAAACATTCGACATTTTTGACACAGGGCACAGGGCTACTAAGAAACAAATACAGTAATCTCGATCCGCCATTACATTCCACCGACCGACTTGTCCTTCGCTTGTTTCGTGCAGTGTTGGCTGTTACTCTTCCCCTTGTCTGTTCCGACTTTGAAACACTACGTCACTACCACTACCTACAACCATAGATAAAACATACTCCTTGAGGAGTATCTTCTACAATCGATTTGTTACCAAAATCTGGGGAAAAAGTAGTACAATCAATGCGTTACGGTGTCAATACCTTGCAAAATTAGCCAAAATAGTTCCTTGACGTTGTTGAAATACAGCCAAAATGTATTATTTGATCAATATTTCAATTTTATAAAGTCAAAGGCCTGAAATCCCTAGAAAATCTAAAAAATCCTTCAATTTCGCTGATTATCCCTAGTTATCCCTCAATCCCTTTCCAATCCCTCGAAGGCCCTAAATATCCCTAGAAAGGGATTTTTATCCCTCAAATGGAAACACTGCTCTTAAGCTTTAAATAGGAAAAACATGACCATTTTCAGGGAATATCTTTGTAGAAATTAAGCCAATGTAAATGGGAATTCGCTTAGTCTGAAGGTTTGCTGCGGATACACAATTTTAATAACAGCAATGATTGAAGAATCTGAATTATTACTTATATCCATGAATTTATCTAACAGTTATTTCCTGTAAAATATTATTACAGCAGCTCAAAAATATTGGAACAGACTCGGTCAACAAATTACCGAATGGTATAGTTACCATATGAAAGAATCCCATACTAATGACATTAACATAGTTCCATTTAATCAATTTTAAATGGGCGAGTGACACATTTTATTTATGTTTATGATCCATACCGTTCCTGTACTAATAATCATGCAGTATTTAATATGTCTGGTCCAGCTGTGTGGAATTGTGAAATCAAAATTAATTTGACAGTTTAGTTCTGTTTGTTTACATTTTTAAATTTTGTGGGTTTGTTCTTTGTTACCATGGATACCATCAATAAATATTTCACTTTTAATTTCTGACAACAGCTGGAGTTCCATAACAAATTTTGTTTCCCATGTTAATCTTATGGAGAAATACGAAACTTTAAAGGGCCCCGGGGCCTCACCACTCTCTAATTATTTCCCTAAAAAGAAAGTTTCCTGCACAACTTCACGTTACGCTCTTTCCAATGACACCAAAAACATGTCGATCGGTTCAGTAGTTTCAGAGGAGTAATTGTTACAAAAATCCTGCTTGCGTATTAAATAAGTACTAGTGGTCGTATTATATTGTCTGTGGTCCTGTGGTCGAAACTCGACCAAAAATAATTAATGTACAGACTTCTCTATTTTCTCCCCACACTGTAAATAAAACATGTGATTGGAATTTCTTCCATTTGTTTTGATTTTCTGTTTACATTTTGTTGTTATTTCGTCACCATCATGGCAACCCATATGGTCCATGTTAATTTTTTGAAGTTTTCAAATTCATTTTTTGTGCTTATTTGTTAGTCTATTTAAATTTTTAAATGCATTCTGCACATCTACAGGAAAATATCTTTCCAACAGTATGCGCAGATTTTCCCTGCGATGAACACGAGCTGAGAAAAAAGGTTTTAAAGAAACATGCTTGCCTATTAATATATAGATAGATAGATTGAGTTCATCGGTCTAGCCAAGTGCGGTAGTCATGTACGGTTAGGGTTCACTTACTCTACGAATCATTGACACAATGAGCCTCCAAATATGTAATTCTTAAAACACATGGCTCACTTACTCTACAAATCATAGTCTATACGAGCTTCGTAAATAATATTGAAGGTTCACTTGCACTACAGGCTCGTATACTATACGAGCCGATCAAAAATATCAAATAAATTAAGAGGGTTCACTTACTCTACAGATCATTGTGCCTATGAGCCAAGCGTATGAATTCTTGAATAATTCAGGAATAAGCTCGTATAGTATACGAGCCAAAATACTGAATTTAAATAAATTACAGGAGTAGGCTCGTATACTATACGAGCCTATTTCATGATAACTATTACACAAATAGAAGACGGCTCACTTACTCTACAGTTCATTGGCACAATGATCTGTAGAGTAAGTGAACCCTCTACAAATATTAGAAGGCTCACTTACTCTACGGTTCATTTAGCTACTCGTCGCGCGGTTTGCAGCGCATCGTTGCAGGCGTGTATGGTAAACCAATACCGCAGTTCTGCCGTTCTGCCTTACTTCTGCCGTTTACTAGTCTTGCAGCGTGAAAGAGAGCTTGTTATGTTAATGCATTGTTGAATTTTTAACTTGTGTACTCGTTGCTAGAAATCAAGCAATTATCAAGTACCGGTACAGGAGCTATTTTAAGAGTTATTACAGACTTAATTTTCAATTAATTAAAAAGACTCACGTAAAAGCTTATGCAACTAATGGAATTACTTACTGTGTTATGAACATTTCTATATAATTAAAGTTGTAAATATTTTAAAATTGTTTAGAAGATTGCCTTTTTAGTGTTTTCTACAAACGTGTCTCAACTTATACACATAGACTGGTGGAGTGGTAATTTATATTTCTAATCATTTAACTTTAAATTATGAACGCTTTCAGTCACGTGAAGTTGAATTAATTAAACTGACATTAGTTTTTACCATAAATGATAAACCTTTTGAAATTGACTTAATAGCTTTGTATAGAAACTATAAATATGATTTTTATTTTTTCCGCAATGATTTGCAACGTATTTTGAGTAATTGTAAAAACACAGCTATTATGTTAGGAGATATAAATTTATGCATTTTAGAACAAAATAACAGTGTCATTGATTATTTAAGTATAATGAACTCATTTGGTTTTGAGTCGTTTATAAATGAGCCAACTTGGGGGAGAGAAAATTGGGTAAAGTGTTTAGACCATGTATTCATCAGAAGTAAGACTAATTTAATTTTTCATAGTAATTTAGAAAACTATGACTTTACTGATCATGCTGGAGTTAATGTAAATTGCGTAACAAGTTGTGATAGTGCTTTGAAAGAGGAGTTTGTCAAGGCTGTAGATCATTCAATTTTAAAAAGAAGGTTGGCTGAAGTGAGCTGGATGCCAGTGTTTGATTGTGAGGATGTTGATAAATCTCTAACAGTTTTTTACGATATTTATAATAAATGTATTGAGCAATCAAGTTTTTTAAGGCCTATTAACAGTAAAAATAGGCATCGAACTCCATGGATATCGGACACACTAATTAAAAAGATAAATGAAAAAAACAGACTTCACTCTCGATTGAAAAAGCACTATGACATACATTTGTTTAATAGATATAAAGAACTCTCTAGAGAATGTTCTAATTTGAAAAGACGGGAAAAAATTAATTATTACTCATCTAAAATTGAAGCAGTAAAGGGCTGCATCAAAGTCTTATTGGAATATATGCAAATCTATTATGAGAAAGTCAAAAAATGAACTAACATCGATTA